GAGGCTGTGACGGGTTCAGGCAGGCCCATCTGAAGGAAGAGGAATTTGTTCTGGGGGGCTCTGGACTCCCTCTGTAGCACTGTCTGAGCTGGACATAGACAGGTCTCCCCTGGTCAGTCTGCTGTATCAGAGACAAGTCTCCCCTGGTCAGTCTGCTGTATCAGAGACAAGTCTCCCCGCTCCAGGAATGCCGTGCAGGTGTGACTATCACCCCACCCCTCCCCCACTGCAGTGCAACATGCAAACTCACATTCAAATCCAGGTGTTGTGTAATGTGTTGTGCAGCAGCCCGCCTGCTGCAGCCGTGTCAGACATGATTGCACATACAGCACAGTAAGAGTGAGGGGGCTGGAAGGCGCTTGGGAAGGCATACAGCACAACTGCCCTGCATAGTGTTCCAACACGCACAGCGAGCACGCAGCCAGACACAGCGGCGACTCTCTTCCTTATAAGGCAAGAGCGGCGTAGCGCGGCGCAGGGCGGAAGGCGGCCGCGGTGCCTACTGGGAGTTTCCCGACCGGAAGAGAGACGCCGAAGGAGTGAGGGAGCGACAGGAGACTTCTGTAAAACAGCGAGACTGATTTACCCCCCAGCGAGAGGAGACCGATAAGGTGAGCGGGGTCTGCGTGGCGGGCGGTGGCGTGGGGTGGGGAGCGGTGTCCGGTGGCGGAGGGGTGTCTGGTGTTGATGCATTAGCGATCGCGCTGTTGGCGATGATGCCGAGGGTCGGTGCGCGGACAGGAAGCGGGGCCGGTGCGGTTCGGTGGCGCTCGAGACTGCGCTGAAGTCAAGCGCCGTTTGCGTTACTGCGCTGCCGGACCTCAGCCCGCAGCCGTCGGTGTTTTCGCCAGGACCCGTTCAGAGTGGGGTTCGGGGTTCGGGGTTCGGGGTGCAAGTGGGCGTGTCGGACCCGAAGCGGAACCCTGCTTTAGTCTGCGCAGTTCATGTCCTGCGCTGTCGCAGGCCGGTTCCGGCTCAGACAGAGCTGCAATCGGGCCGGGCCGGTGTCTGCAGGCGTGGCTTCTGGCGAGGTCGGGCTTGTTTTGCCAGAACGGGTCGTCCGAAGTCCATCCTTCAGGACGGACAGCGCACGGGCTGTGGGAGAGCACGTCACGCGTGGGGCGCAGTGCCGGCTGGCCTAGTTCCACCGCGGCTGCTGCCTGCGTGGGCTCGCGGGACAGCCGGCCTGTGCTGGACAGTGGTCACGGTGTTCAGGCACGACAGTCGGGGGGATAAAACCCCACAGGCAGCAGCCAGCCGATAGAGCACAACATTCACTTCCCTGTGGGCGGGAGGCCGGCTCGGTCCCGTGCCAGCGTGTCCCTGAGCCAGGTCACCCAGCCTGCGGTGCTGAGAGAGATGCTCGGCGCTCCTGCCGTGACCAGTGCAGTCTGGGCGCTCTTCCCTGGGAAACCGAGTCGGTCGGGGGGCACGGCGAGACCTGACACCCCCAGCCCAGCCCAGAGAGCAGCAGGAGGGTCTTGGGGTGTCAGTGTGCACACCAGACGGCCTTGTGGGGTGTCAGGGGGACCAGGGTGGCCCCCTGATGGTGTCGGGGGGACAGGAGGACCCCAGACAGTCACCCTGAGTCTGTCAGAGGTGACACCAGGCCGGCTGCTCACCCAGCTTCCTGTTTCTCTCGCATTCTGGTCCCAGAAAGGAGGAAGTTGACTGCATCTCTCCTCTCGAGTCGGGCTCCCTCTGATTCGCCTCGTCAGACCTTATTAACCTGCAGGATGGGCGGTTCTGACCCAGGACCCAGTCCTACAGGCCGGTCTCACTGCTTTCAACAGATTGAAGCCGTTCTTTCCATGATTCTCTACTGTCGCCTAGACGTTTACAGAAAAGGCTGTTTCAGTACAAAAGGTGACTGTTGTTCACCAAGGGAGAAGTCATCAGCTTCCCGGTGGCAGAGGAGGAGGAGGAAGAATCACTGGGACCAGAACCACTTCAGATACACTGCTGTCCTGGGCCTGATGGCCAGTTGGTTCTGGTCAAGTTTGCACTTGATATCAAAACAAGTGGCTTATCAATCACTGTAGAAGCAGAAAACAAATTCAAAGTGATTAATCTAGAGAATCATGACAAGAAGAAGCCCCTCTTACCTGTGACCCGTCTTGTGTTCTCTGATGTAAGAACTTGACTGTAGCAGAGGGTCCAGCTGAGGCACAGGCTCTCTTGCTTTCCTGTGTCGGGTCTGCAGTGCAGTGTTAGCGAATGAGCTGCATTGAGCAACACTGTTTCGAGAATGTGAAATAACGAACAGTTTCTTAGCACTTCAGCCAAGAGTCTTGACTTTTACAACCAGACTCCTGCCTGCCCAAAGACAATACGATTCTGAATAAAACAGAATTATGTCTGTATATTAGTAATCGAATGAAGACAATAAGAGGTGAGTGTGTAATTTTATATTACCCATTCAGTAAGGTAGTTTCTCCTAAGAACTAGCAGCCCATGTGATAGTGGCACACTCCCCTCTCCTGCCTCTCTCCGTGTACAGGCACTGTGCTGTTTCTTCATGTGCAGTCATCATGCATCATACTGATGCTTCAGACCAGATGTGGGCGATCTCTGAAACCCGATGTCCAGCTGTCTGCTGAAGCAGAAGGGGACTGCATGGCATCTGTGTTCTATACTGAGATTCTGTCCATTTGCTTATACAAATGCATTCAAAACATCAAGCATGAAATCTCCAGCAGCTCCTGTTGCTTTCCATGTCCGAGTCCACAGACACAGCAGACACTAAGCAGCGCTGGAGTGGGTCAGACGGCTGAGCCCCGGGAGTCTCACCCGTCTCCCTGCCCCTGTGTGCGTCAGGGCTCTGCAGCCCCCCGTCTCGGGTCACAGGCAGGGACATCGGGACGTGTAGACTCGAGCTGCTGTCGACTCTCATCAGACAAGCTCTGTGTGTGACGCCAGCAGGAGTGTAATCAGTCTGGACTGGACAATCCCATCTTAATGCCCTGACCAGCTGACACCCTGACGGAGTGGGAGGACGGGGGGCTGTTTGCCCAAGTGAGGGGGCGGTGTCCTGTTACCCCATCGTTCAGTGTGTGAGATTCCCTTCTCCTGAGACTCTAATAAGTCACATTCCTCCCAGACATGTCCCAGCCTGATTCCTCCCTCCTCCCTCCTCTCCCTGTCCTACCTGTCTGTAATCCTGGTGCTTTGACTCCCCCTGGTGGGACTGTCTGATAGTGCATTTCCCACGACAGCCGTCTGTCCGCAGTGATTGATGGCTGTGTGTCTCTGAGCCAGTGTGTCGCTGTGCAGTGTATCAGTGCCAGTGTGGCCAGTGTGCTGTGCATCGTGCCAGTGTAACGGCCTCACGTGTGTGTTTGCACCCTGCAGGCAATGGCTGAGCTGGCGAGTCTGGTGCAGAGGCTGGAGGTGGCCGTGGGGCGCCTGGAGGCCGTGGCGGGGTCGCAGGGGGACAGCCCAGGAGCCGGCGATGCCGGGGCAGGTACAGTGGGGTGTGGGGAGTGTGTCTGTCTGCGTCGTGTTGCTGTACTGCTGGGTTCTGGGACAGATGTTTTGAAGATCTGGAATGAGCTGTCTTGATGTGCTGATTGGTCTTTGTGTTTTGCGCTCGTCTTAAGAACCCTGCTTTGCCTCCCTCTCTCCCCAGTCGTGCAGTTCGTACAGGAGTTCGATGCCCTGGTGTCTGGCACTGTGGCTCAGTACTGTTCCCTCAGCCAGCAGATAGGGGGCGATGTCCAGAAACACGTGAGTCTCTCTGTGGTCGTCACCTGCCTGAGGTTCTGTGAGTCATGGCTGGAGGCCTAACAGCGCTCCTCTCCTCTTCCTCCAGGCGGAGATGATAAAGCAGGCTTTCGCTGCACAGAGACAGATCCTGGTCATAGCCTCCCGCTGCCAGAAGCCCTCTGACGTGAGTAACAGCGTTCTGCACCATCACAGCTTGTCGGCTTGTTGTTCCAGCACTGTCGGTCCCTAGCAGACAGGACAGCTGTGACCCTCTGTGCCCCCTGTCCCCAGGCCACGCTGACCTCGCTGCTGCAGCCCGTGTCCAGTGTGATCGAGCAGGTCCAGTCGTTCCGAGAGAAGAATCGCAGCAGCCCGCTGTTCAACCACCTGTCCGCGGTCAGCGAGAGCGTGCCCGCCCTGGGCTGGGTCGCCATGGTGAGGGGGCCGGGGTGGGCGGGGAGGATGGCTGCGTTGTCATGGCAAAGGGCTGGGTTGCTGTGAGAGGGGGTGTGGCCTGGGTTGTCAGGTGGGTTACAGGCAATATGAAATATTCCTCACAGCCCAGAGGCTGTCTTGAGGTCTTGGGTTCTGTTCCTGGTGGGCAGGCACACGGCTTTCTTCCGTGAGTCTCGAGCTGTCCTGCGATCTGTCTCGGCTCCACTGACCCCATGTCTATCTGTCTCTGCCCAAGGCCCCCAAACCTGGCCCCTATGTGAAGGAGATGCAAGATGCTGCCATGTTCTACACCAACCGCGTCCTCAAGGACTACAAGGACAAGTCAGTCTATTTCCCTCAGCTCGCCTGTCTGCCAGCGGCTGTAGGCCCTGTGTGTGTGTCTGTGGGCTCTCTTCATGTTGGCAGCCTTCCTGTGTGTAAGACAAGGGTGTGTGCGTGTGCGCTGTCTGTGTCTCTGTGTGAGTGCGTCTTGGGATCCCCTCACTCTCTGTCTGCCTGTGTCCAGGGATAAGCAGCATGTGGACTGGGTGAAGGCCTACCTCTCCATCTGGACAGAGCTGCAGGCTTACATCAAGATGCATCACACCACCGGCATGAGCTGGAGCAAAACTGTGAGTGTGCGCGCGTGGCTCTCTCACCGCGCCGTGAGTGTGCGTGTGTCTGTGCGCACATTTGCTGACCCCCTGTCCCCCTCCCTTTCTCTCAGGGTCCTGTGGCTTCGGCCTCCTCTGCTGCTTCGCCCCCGGCTGCTGGCGGCCCCCCTCCCCCGCCCCCCGCAGGCCCGCCCCCCCCAATGGACCTGCCCCCATCCAGCCAGGGCAGCTCGGACGCCACCCGCTCTGCCCTCTTCGCCCAGCTGAACAAGGGCTCTGACATCACCAAGGGTGAGTTCTGCCGGGCCGGGCTGGGCCCGCAGGGGCGAGCGGTCCCAGCAGCCCCGCCCTCACGCTCACCCTCTGGCCTCTCGCGCAGGCCTCAAGCACGTATCGGATGACCAGAAGACGCACAAGAACCCGTCTCTGAAGTCCCAGGGCGGTCCGATCCGCACCGGGCCCAAGCCCTTCTCCACGCCCCAGATCCGGCCCTCCGGTGCTGCCGCCGCTGCCGCCGCCGCCCCTCAGAGCAAACAGCTCCCTGTCCTGGAGCTCGAGGGCAAGAAGTGGCGAGTGGTAAGAGGCTTTGCCCCGCCCGCGCTGGAGCCCCTGCCCTCGGCCTGCTGTAACCCCTCTCTCTCGCGCTGCGCAGGAGCACCAGGATGGGGCGCAGGGCCTGGTGATCAGCGACACCGAGCTCAAGCAGGTGGTGTACGCCTACAAGTGCAGCAACAGCACCCTGCAGGTCAAGGGCAAGATCAACTCCATCACCGTCGGTGAGCAGAGCTGAGGCAGGAGGGTGAGGCAGGGGCCTGAGGCTGTCAGTAAGGAGGGGTGAGGCAGGGGCCTGAGGCTGTCAGTAAGGAGGGGTGAGGCAGGGGTCTCACCTGTGTGCACCTGCTGCCTGTGGGCACACTAGGTGTTGAGATGTGTGTTCTGTCTCGTGCAGATAACTGTAAGAAACTGGGCCTGGTGTTTGATGATGTAGTCGGGATCGTGGAAGTGATCAACTCCAGAGATGTGAAGATCCAGGTGACCTGTCTGACGGAACCCCCTCTCTGTACACCCCTGTTCACACGCACGCACGTGTGCACCCTGTCTCTCTGTACCCCCCTGTTCACATGCATGCACGCGTGCACCCTGTCTCTCTGTACACCCCTGTTCACATGCACATACATACGCACTCACACACACCTTATCTCTGTACACCCCTGTTCTCTCACACACACCTCTCTCTGCAGGTGATGGGCAAGGTGCCCACTGTCTCCATCAACAAGACGGATGGGTGCCACGTGTACCTGAGTGAGCAGTCCCTGCAGTGCGAGATCGTCAGTGCCAAGAGCTCGGAGATGAACGTGCTGGTGCCTGGGAGTGGGGGCGACTTCGTGAGTGTCTGGGGGGCTGTGGGGAGGGCGGGGCGGGGGGTCTGTGCGAGTCCAAGGGGCGACGGGGTGCTGTGTTGCACGAGGGACAGACTCCACAGCTTCTCTCTCTCCTCCTGCTGCAGACGGAGCTGCCTGTGCCGGAGCAGTTTAAGACGGTTTGGGATGGCAAGAAGCTGGTCACCACGGCAACTGAGATTGCCGGGTAGATGACATCCTTTTCTGCATCTCCCTCCCCCCACCCCAAAACCGCCACCCACCCAACCAATCAGCCAATCACAGAGCAGCTGAGTTGACCTGCCATTGCCCAATCAGAGCTACAGCTGTGCCTTCCTCCAGCCAATCCCAGAGAGGGCTTCATTCTGCTTTTGGTGTGGGTATTAACATTGGCCAATGGGACACCAGCGCACTGTTTTTTTCAATTTTATTTTAAACGGTTTTGCCAACATTTTTCTTTGAATTTGCTGAACCATTCCTGCCAAACAGGGGGTTGGGCAGCTGGGCTGTTTGCTCAGTCCATGGGGGTACAGGGCCCCCCACTCTGTCCAGGGTTACCCAGCGTGTGTCTCTGTCTTTCTCTGTGATGGACTTGTTGGTGGGGGGGGGGCTTTCAGAAATATGCAAGGGCACCCCAAGCGTACAAGACCTTTCCATATAGTTCACTCTGTCTGAGCATCTGTTTACAGCAATCAAAACTAATAATAATGTTTATGAAGTAGGACTGGTTAGTAAAGTTATAGTTATCCTGCAGGTAGGAGCTTAATTTTCACAATTAATATTGCAGCAAAATTACAAAAAAAATCTTTGTTTCCATTCCAGATAGTTCCCAGCATTCCCTGTTTTGTATCTTTTTTTCGTCGTCTCTGTTCTGCGCCTGTTTGTTGCTCCAGAGCTGCGGTTCTGTCGGAGAGGGATGGGAGCCGGGAAGAGCTCGATCCTCCCTCTGGGGCTTCGTGTTCGCGAGCGCCCGCGCCGCGAGCCACTCTGCACTGCTTTTGGGCAGGTGTGTCGCTCCATTTCGTGTAACCGCAGGGCGTAACTGTCGGTCTGGGGCTCTGCCGGTCAGCCTGTCTGTCTAACCTCTGTAGCTCGGTGTGGGTTTTCTTTCACTATGATCCAATAATATTAATCTTATTCATCAGTACTGGATGATGACATTTTTCAAAAAATGAGACGCAATAAAAATGTTCCTGGAGTTGCTGCGCCGTGTGGCCTGTCTGTTATTCCTGCGCCAACTGTCTGCCCAGACGCCACCCTGAAGCCCTGCCACTGCAGAAGTAGCAAAACAAGAGGCAGTGAAGAGACTGAAATTGATCAAAATTTATTTGAAGCTTAGAACAAAACTACAAACCTAAGCTGCAATCAGTTCATTCATTCACATTTGACTCCTGTGTTCTCCTTCCTGATTGGAGAGTTAGTTGATCAGAGTGTCCAATCTGCCATGTCTGCAGTGTGTTAGTAGTCCAGTAGGGGGCAGCCTTGTCAATGCAGGTATGG